TCGGAGGGTACCGATATATGGGGCTATATCAATTAATGGGCATGCAGGGAGTATTTTTTGCAGGGAGAGAACAGACCTACCGGAAACGCCAAGTGTCAAGTATCATTTAATTTGGTTGGACATTGTGGCAGAGACCTTTTAAATTTTTTGCAAAGAGAGAACTGTCCTACCGTACAAATTGTTTCGGAATTCATTAGAGATATAAGTATGGAAAATGTTGATCCCTTGTGGGGGAGGTGTCAGTAGGGCTGGACTGATATCTATCATGTTCACACCATATGTTATATTGGGATGTCTTAAATTTTGGGATGTCTTAAATGAGCTTCTTGTTTTCAAAATTTTGACCCCTTTGATAGCAATATAGACATATGCGAAATTGGAAGACAATCGGACTTTTATTTCGCATTTAATATGTGTTGTGATAATACAAAATGTTGACCCTTTGTGGGGGAGGTCATTGATGGGATGGACCGATATTGTCCATTTTCCCACCTGACCTAGCACTGATACAAATAATAGGATCTGCAAAGTTTGCACAAAATTGGATGATCCATTTTTGTTCGTTGAAGTAAATAATTTTCTGAGAAATTTCTGAGCTTTTGTGGGGGAGTTACCAGAAAGAGTGGTCCGATATTACGAAGCGCCCTTCCGACTCGACCTAAGTTTGATAAAATATAGCGATGTTCCAAATCCGATACTCCCTTCGAGATATATATTGTGCCCACCAGCCATCCAGACAGAGAGACGGACACCCCTAAATGTCCAGAAGCTGATTTGGTCCAAAGAGACCTAGGGTTTAAGTCGGTATCAAATGATATATACTCTCTGTAATCATATGGCTGAGGATATAAAAAGTCAAAAAGAGCTGAACATGTACTAGAAGGTGGTATCTATGTGAACTCCAATTACCAACCTTATTAATTTTAAAACAATTCCCTTGAAAACGAGACACAAATCATAAAATCAGATATTCGGCACATCTGGATGTACAGTTACATTGGATCTGCACTAAACTTCGACCTTTATGGACAGTGCTCTTTAAGGAGTTTTTCTACATACTGGAACCGCAAACTGTCAATTAACAGTAAACTCTGTTTAAAATTGTGACTAAAACACCCAAAGCTTCTTACACATTCCGTTTAATTTATGTGGGACTATACTAAAACGTGGGCCTCTATGAACCATTTTCAATTTCAAACATTTTACGGACCTTAAATACATTCGAGTGAAATTTTGTCCACCTACTTCATTCCGTTCGGAAGCTAGAGGGATTTCCACAGACGGACGGATATGACTAAATTGATTGCTGGGATCTAAAATGATACGCTACATAGCATACCCTCCATAGTAAAGGATAAAACAACTAAAAAAGTAGTTAAGTTCCCCCGGGCCGAACATTTTATACCCTTCTCCATTAGGAAAGTAACGATGCAGGCTATAAAAAAACGTTGGCCTATAAAGGAATAGATTTGCTTGAGCGCTTTACCCTCTATGAAATTCAAATGCCGAATTTTAAGTAAATCCCTTAGAAACTGAGAATAAAATCGTCAAATACCAAATATTGGGGAGTATCGTAATATAGGGGCAATAGGAGAACGTGAAGCTTTAAACACCAAGTCCTGCCACAGGAGGTAGAATCCGTTATGAACTCTTGATTCCAGATTTACCACTATTTTTTAGAAACTGAGGCTAAAATCTTCAAAATACCGAATATGGGGAGGTACCGTTATATGGTTGCTATTGGAAAATGTGGATATACAGGGTGAGATAAAAAAGTGCAATAAAGTCAAACGCCATAATTTTTACATTTTTTTTTTTTAATTTTTATTGAAAGAAAGAAAAATGTCGGAAATAGCATCAAATTTTAGAATAAGTTGCGATTTGTTCAAATTGGTCACCTTTGGCAGGAATTATGGCCTTCAAACGGCCAATGAAACCACACGTCACACGCTGCCTGAATGTTGATCTGCTGTATTTTGGCCCATTCCCGGAGCAGCGCATGCTTGAGGTGATCGACACTTTGGTATTTTTTAGTGCCAACCTTGCCTTCCAAAATACTCCAGACACAATAGTCCAACGAATTAGTATCCGGAGATTTTGGTGGCCATTGTGCTCTGGAAATGAAGCGAGGAACCTCATTTTATAACCATTCTTGGGTGACGCGTGCTGAGTGCGATGGTGGTGAGTCCTGTTGGAATATCCAAGGTCTGCAGCCAAAATGTTTGCGTGTCCAAGGCTTTAATAATATTTTCGCGATAATATTCGACATTTATTCTGATGCCACGGTCGATTAAAACGCGCGGAGAGCGACCATCGGCTGTTATGGCGGCCCACACCATCACCATCACAATGGCTGGCGCTTGAGTTGTGGTGGCCAACGGAAGGTGCACATTTTCAGCTGACCTCTTTGGCAAGTAGACACGATCATTTTGTTTGTTTACAAACTGCTGACAACGAATGTTTTCTCATCGGAGAAAACCAAATTCAGCAGTTCACCACTTTCGGCCAAGCGAAGCAACTCTTTAGCTCTTTTGACTCCATTTTCTTTTTGTTGCGGTGTAAGTTCTTGCACTCTTTGGAATTTCAATGCCCCTACCCCGAGCTCATTTTTCAATATTCGCCGAATGAAATATTGCGATATGTCCATTTTTCGGCCACTACGACGCGGGTTTCGATCAACTCGCTTCTTTACTTTTCGAACCATCTCTGCTGATGTTGCTGTTTTCTTCCGTCCACTTCCTTAACGTCGAGCTATGCTATGGTACGAGACACAAAAGATTTATTCACATTTAAATGCTGGAGTGCTCTAACGACTGCCACTTGTGGTTTTCCAGCCAAATAATTCACGCTTGAATTCCATCACGAATAACTTTTTTTCTGGAAAATTCTCACCAAAATCCTTTTGTACGCTTGTAAACAATATAATAAGTTGTCACTGGAATAATTTAAGCAGTCGTCGGACGAGTGGCTTAGAAATGACAGCAATCTTAAGTTGGTTGCAGTTTTTTCATATATAAGCAATATGCTGTCAAAAGGGGTAGAAACCGTTAAGAACTCTAAATTTTAACCATTATATGGACGCTATATAAAAACGGTGACCGACAGAACTCATCTTCGAACTTGACCTGAATGTAAACAAAAGACAACTCTATGCAATATATTAGCTTTCTATTTCATGCCGTTTGGACTCTGATGTGATTGCAACAGACGGACGGTCGGACGGACAAGTATAAATCTACAAACGGAATTACAAACTTAATATCCCCTCCATACTATGTATAGTGTAGGATATAAAAAGGGTTCTATTCAATTGAACTGCAGTGTATTTACGCTTTTGTTATTTCTGAGTGTGTATGTATGTCGGTTAAATATCCAACAAAAACAAGTTAAAAAGTATCGGTCGGTATTGCCGACAGATATATACCCTCAGCCTGTGTTCGATTATTTAAATATAATTTGACTAGTGTTACAATTATTCAAACGTTTTACCCTCTATGAAGCAGGTTCCGAAGGAATGGGTCAATATTGTCTATTTCGTATCGGACCCCAATATATGATATAAATATTCCGACGTTCCTGGTATGGATTATATCGACTAACTCCTTCACTATGTATGAGATATTTAATAATTTTTAGAAAATGTTAAAATGTGAGTGATGTACAAGATAGAGTCTACCGATATATTCCACTTTTATACTGCATCTGATACAAATAAAAAATATTGAGCGAAATATTTGGCAACAATAAAAGAAAGAATATTTATGTCCAATTTCATGCGAAATCATAAATTCCGATAAATTTCATATTCATATCAGGCTCTTGTTTAGAGAAATATTTGAGCATAGCAAGTAGTAAAGAATTGCTAAATTGTTTCGAAAGTTATGACAGATAAAATTATTGAAAATTGTGATCCCAGAAGGGGTTGGCAGGTATACCACCTTTATAACAGATCTTGTGTTGATAGAAATGTTGAGATGTGCCAAGTCTAAATGGAATCGGATGTTAATTTGGCGTTTTATTACTTTATGGGTATTCAAAATTTCGACACTTTGTGGTGGAGGTACCAGAAGGAGTGTGCCGATACATTCCATTTTCGCACCAGACCTTGGACTAATAAAATTATTGGGATGTGTGAAATTTAAAGACTATCAAACTCTTACATCACATTTTATAAGAGTTTTAATTATCCAAAATTTTGACCCTTTGTGGGGGAGGTCCCTGATGGAGTGGACCGATATTGTCCATTTTCGCACATGACCTAACACTGATGAAAATATTAGGATTCACAAAGTTCCGGCAAAATCGGATTATCCTTTCTCTTTTTGTGCAAAAAATATTTTTTGAAAAGTTCGACCTTTTATGGGGGAGGTACAAGAAGGAGTGGACCGATACATTCCATTTTCGCACCAGACCTTGGACCAATAAAGGTTTTGGGATGTGTAATTATTCAAAGTTGTAATTATTCAAAATTTTGACCATTTGTGGGGGAGGTACTTGATGGAGTGGACCGATATCGTCCATTTTCACACCTGGTCTAGCACTGATGAAAATATTAGCATTCGCAAAGTTCGAGCAAAATCGGATAATCCTTTCTCTTTCTGTGCAATAAATTCGTTTCTTTGAAAATTTTGACATTTTGTGTAGGAGGTACCAGAAGGAGTGGACCGATATCGCCCATCTCCGAACTCGATCTAAGTTTGACAAAAATATTACGCTGTACCAAGTTTGGATCAAATCGGATACTTCCTTTGAGAGTTATCGTGCGCACCAGCCAGCCAGACAGACAGACAGACAGACGGACGGACGGACATCGGTAGATCGACTCCAAATGTTCTGAAACGGATTTGGTCCAAAGAGACCTAGGGTCTAAAACCGTTATTTCGACTAGGCACGTTTTGACCGTATCAAATGATATATACCCTCTGTAGCCATATGGCTGAGGGTATAATGACTGTCTCTTTAAGCATGCTTAATTAATGTGTGTTTTTTTTTCACTCAAGGTCTTGATGATGGCAAAGTTCGAGCACTACATTGCAAAACAAATAAATCTCAAAGCCTTTACGGAGCTGAAAGTATCTGTGTATCGTTAGCACCAAATACAAGAGGAACGGCATTCTTGTCCGGCCATAATGATGGCACCATCATTCGATTTTTCTTGGTGGATGACAGTAATGAGCCATCGGGTCGCATAGTCCAACATCCTGTGCCACCATTTGCATTGGCTTGGCCTCAGGGTGGCTTTTGTGTGGGCGGTTGTGATCAACGGATTGTTTTCTATGATACCATGGTAAGTATAAGGAAAATTGACAATGAGTATGGAGAGGCTAAGAAATGGATTTGCAAACAAGGTACATTACTCTAACATATAGACATTAACAAGTAATATAATCCATGTTTCTAAGGCCCTGACAATGCCTTTGCATATGAGTGTGTGTCTTTGTATTAAAATATACGTATGTTTTTCAAAACACTTTAGGGACGACAGGTTCGTACATTTGATTACTCACGCACAGAAGGTGAACGTGAATTTACCGTGGCTGCCTGCAGTCCCAATGGACAGGCTGTGGCATTTGGCAGCTATGATCGCATACGAATATTCACATGGAGTCCTCGGCTGTCGGCCTGGAGTGAAAGTGCCACCAAAGATATCAATTATTTTTACACGGTTACATGTTTACTTTGGCGACGTGATGGTGCAAGGTAAATATTAATATACAAAAAATATAAACAAAGATTTATTCAAATCTCCTAATTGAATTATTGTGATTTATATAAATATGTGTGTATATGTATATGTATGTGTATGTGTGAATATTTGTATTGGAAATCGGATTTCTGAGAATATGAAGTATGAACAGTTTCAGAAGTCCACAATAATCTTTAGTATTATTGTAGCATACTTTAAGGCGCCTCCACATTTTTTATACCCACCACTATACCATGGTAGAAGAATACAGGAAGTCGCATCGACACAGCTGCTGGGACAATGAACTGTCAAACTAAATTTGAAGTTAAAAATTTTGAATGAAAAGTTATTCAAATCTGTAAAAATTGTTGAAAAACGAACATCATAACAATCTCCGATTGGTGTCATATAAAAAACATAAAAAAACATGAAAAAACATTTCAAAAATTTTGACATATCAATTTTCCCAAGCGTTGATGCATCTACCTGTATTTTTCTACCATGCACCATACATAGTATGGAGGGTATATTAAGTTCGTCATTCCGTTTGTAACTAATCGAAATAATAATTTTAGACCTAACAAAGTATATGTATATTCTAAGATTATTTCTTCTAAGATTATTTAGCTATGTCCGTCCGTATGTCCGCCTATTGTAATCACGCTAGATTCAAAACGAATTAAAATAGGAAGCTAACATTTTGCACAGATCTGTCTTTTGTATGCATGCAGGTCAATTTCGAAGATTGACTATATCGGTACACGATATCGTATAGCCCCCATATGACGGTACCCCCGATATTCGGTATTTTGATTTTTTCGAATTGTCTGAAAATCCACACAAGGAGTTCTTTGTGAGTATTCTATCCCCTGGAAATAATTGTCTATATAGGTCCAATATATCGTATAGCCCTCATATAATGGTACCTCCAGATATTCGGAATTTTCATGATTTCAGCAAAATTTTTCAATGGATCTACCTTAAAGTCTACAAAAGGAGATTCTTGTAAGTACTTTATCCCCTATAAGAGAATTGTCTATAAAGGTCCACGATATCGACATTATTCACGGGAGTTGTGTCAAATTCCGTATTTAAAGTTCGCTATGGGTACTACAACCTATGACGAAAAATTGTATATGCAGATTCACGTCTTCGGTATGACGGTACCTCACTTTATGCGGTATTTCATATTTGAAGTTCGGAATAGTTACTACAGCCCATGACAAAAGTTACTTATGCAGGACCACGTCTTCGTATAGACCCCATATAACGGTTTTCATTTGTGTGGTATTTTTCGACAGATTTTTATACCCTACACCACAAGGTGGTCAGGGTATTATGTCTTTGTGCATTTGTTTGTAACAGGCAAAAGGCAACGAGATAGACCCATAGTTCCTTTTGATGATCTGCATAGAATCACTTTCTGAGTTGATTTATGTATGTCAGTCCGTCTGTCCGTCCGTCCGTCCATGTATTCTTGTGAACAAAATGCAGGTCGCATTTATTATCCGATTGAGATGAAACTTTGCAAACAACATTTGTTTGGCCCAAGGACGAACCCTATTGAAATTGGAGATAATCGGTAACAATTTAGATATAGCTCCCATATATATCTTCGTCCGATTTGCCTTTTATTGTGCACCAAACGTGTAATATCAGCCCGAATAGTATGCACATACAACCAAATTAGGCCTGAAAATAAGTATGCCAAATTTGATCGAAATCGGTTCAGATATAGCTATAGCTCCCATATATATTGTTCATCCGATTTGTTATTTTTGTTCTCCGCAGCCGTAATATACATTCTGTAACAACAATATTTGGGGAAATATATCAAATGCAGCTCAGAAATACCTTTGCTAAATTTTATCGAGATCGGTTCAGATTTGGATATAGCTCCCATATAAATTCGTCCGATTTACCTTTTATTGTGCACCAAACGTCTAATATTTGTCCAAATGGGATGGAATTTGGCACATACGACCGAATTTAGTCTAGAAGGTGGTATGGCAAATTTGGTGAAGATCGGTTCAGATATAGCTATAACTCCCATATATATTGTTCATCCGATTTGTTGTATTTGTTACCTACAGCCGTAATATGCACTCCGTAACAACGATATTCAGGGAAATATATCAAGTACAGCTCAAAAATATCTTTGCCAAATTTTATGGAGATCGGTTCAGATTTGGATATAGTTCCCATATATATCTTTATCTGATTTCAAATTAATTTTGCACCAAATGGGCAATACAAGTCCGAATTTAAAAGATACAAATGCTTTGGCATATTTAGTCCTTTGAAATTTAAATTATAATTATAATTATAATCATAGCGTGTATGATTGAATTCTCCCATAAAAACTTTTAATTGTTAAGTGCAGCTCAACTAAATTAGCAAAGTGGTGTAGGGTATCATAAAATCGGCCCCGTCCGACTTTAGACCTTTCTTTACTGAATTTTTTTTTAATTTTTCAAGTTTCTTCCAAATGGTGTGGGTATAAAAAGTTCGGCCTGGCCGAACTTAACTTCTTTTTTACTAGTTAATATTTTTCAATTGCAATTTCTTTTCTTACACACGGTCCTTCTCATTTCTGGTTTATTTATGTTCTTGAAATCTGTTTTTTTTTTTTTCTATCCAAGACTAGCAATGTCTAGCGTCACCGGAGCTGTAATCGTATTCGAATCGGTTCTCAAACGAACCATATGGCAGGACAAGTTTGAGTTGATTTTTGTGGCACCAAGTCAGTTGTTAGTTCGTTCCCTCCAAGAGCCACACGAACAAATGACAATTGAATCCCAACTGGGTCTAGAAATCGACGATGTACGGATAATGGGCAAAGACAACTTTCTGGTGGCACGTACCGAAGAGTCCCTAATTCTCTGTGATCTTACACGTAATTTGGTCAGTGAGGTACCCTGGTCGGCGTCGGGACGTCATGAACGATTTTACTTTGAAAATCCAACGGTATGTTTAATATTCAATGTTGGCGAGCTGAGCCTGGTCGAATATGGCGAACAACAAATTTTGGGTTCGGTTCGCACGGAATTTGTTAATCCACATGTCATCTCTGTACGGCTAAATGAACGTGGCAATACAAGGTAAGGCAATTCCACTACGATCGTAGGAAGCGGTTTTATTTTTTGTCTTTCTTTTCAGGGACAACAAAAAATTGGCCTTTCTTTTGGATGCTAAAACTATTTGTGTGGTGGATCTAATTACCCAAATGGTTATTGGCCAAGTTAATCATGAAACAAAAATCGATTGGATCGAATTGAGTGAAACAGCCCATAAGCTATTGTTTCGCGACAAGAAAATGCGTCTAATACTCATCGACATTTACACGGGCAAAAAGCAAACCCTTCTCAACAATATATCCTTTGTCCAATGGGTGCCGCAGAGCGATGTGGTCGTGGCTCAAAGCAATAACAATTTAGCCATTTGGTATAACATTGACTTGCCCGAACATTTGACATTGATGGCCATACGTGGCGAAGTTATGGAGGTTATACGAGAGGGGGTAAGTCAATATGATATGTGTAAGTAGTTATTAATTAATCCGAAATGTGAAAGTGTGGTTAATATATTTTTTCATATTAAAAAAAATAATTTATCAATCATAACATGAAATTTTATTCACCCGTTAAGAAATGAAAATCCAATCCAACCCCCAATCAAGGGTTGAGACATAAAATATTTAATATCTACTTTAAAATTTTAGATTCGTTCCAACAGTTCGTGTTAGGGCTTTTACTACTCAAAATGCACCATTTATTCAGTCTGGCAAAACTTCTTTGTTCAAAACTAAATTTTTTAGACTTTCAACATTTTTAACTTTCAACATTGTGTTATTCCATTTGTAAAATATTTGAAATATTTACATTGGACCCTACAAGTATATATTTTCAGCAAAGTATTCTGGATCAGCGTAAAATTCTAAGACGGCCTAACGATGTCCGTCTGTTGTAATCACGCTATATTTCGAACGAATTGAAATAGAAGGCTAAAACTTTGCATACATCGTAATTTACCAGTAAGCAGGTTAGTGGGCCATGTCGGTCCACGTTTTCGTATGCCCCCAATATAACGGTACCTCCCGATATTCGGTATTTTCATGATTTCAGCGCCATTATTTATTTATTTACTATTTCAAATTTCGTATTTGAAGTTCGTAATGAGTTCTAGAGCCTATGACAAAAAAATCGTATGTAGGTTCACGTTTTCGTATATCTCCCATATAACGGTACATCCCTATATTCGGTATTTTGATGATTTCAGCGACAATATTCACCGGGTTTTATTCAAATTTGGTATTTGAAGTTCGTAATGGGTACTACAGTCTATGACAAAAAAAATCGTAAGCAGGTCCACGTCTTCGTCTCCATATAACCGTTTTCATTTAAGTGGTAGTTTCCGGAAGTTTTTTTTTTTTGAAAATTTTCCTTCCTTTCTTCCTTCCTTCCAAATGCTGGAGGGTGCTTTTTAACTTGTTTTTTTTTGCAATGTTTACCATTTACACCAAAAAATCTTCAAAACCTTTCATTTTGAAAATTTCCGAGGAGGATATTAGTTAAGCCAGTGCACAATGGACCCACATTCAATTTTTCTGTTCAAAACTATTTCAACTTTTCCATATAATAACCCTAGAAAGTAGCACCCAATACCATATTTAGTAGCAGTTAAAGTACGCATTTCAAAACAATCTTCATATCAAAACCTCAGATACCAACAGTGGCCTCAATATAAAATTTCACGATTTCAGTGACATCCATATCAAATTTCACAATTTCAGCTCTATCCCTTCACCAAATACCTAATTTAGTAGCATTTAGTATTTCCGAACAATTAAAGTACGCATTTCCTAAAATAACCTACATATCTTAATCCGAGACACCAGCAGAGACCTCAATGCCAATTTTCGGGATTCCATCTCTATCCCTTCACCCAATTAGTACTTTTCGAACAATTATAACACACATTTTCATATATCGATCCCAGATACTAACAGAGACCTCAATGTCAAATCACCGCCAAATCTAACCACCGCCAAATCTCAATCTCACAGATACTCAATAATTTAAGTATCAAATTTCAGAATTTTATCTCTATTCCTTCACCCTATACCAAATATAGTACCATTCAGTACTTTTCGTACAATTATAGTACACATTTCCAAAACCTCCTTCATTTGTCAAGGCTACACATGAATAGCGACCCTATTACCAAGTTTCAGATTTTAAGCACTATATGTTCACCCAATACCAATTGTACAAAATATAACACTAACAGGGACTCCATATAAAATTTCAAAATTAAACCTATATCCGTCCACTCTAAACCAAACTGTTCCAAATTAAGTACCATTTAGTACAGTACATTTTGCACATCTTGTACACATTTCCAAAACCTCCTTCATATATTAAAACTTACTTTCCAAACTTGAATCTCATAGCAAATTTCAAGTTTTCATCTCTATTCGTTCGAATAATACCAAATGGTACAATTTTAAAATTTTAGTACCATTAAAGTACGAATTTCCAAAAACTCTCATTCCAAAATATCAGCTCATTCCGTTTTTCCAAGACAAAGTATTCATTTTTTGGTACATTTTAGTACTTTTATTACGATTTTCCAAAAAAGGAACCTTATCACACGCCTACGCATCAAGACTGCTTCTAGCTTCAGCTTCGTATAACATCTAGTACGCATATCCAAAACAATCCACATCTCCTCATCCTAGCCACCGTGAATTGTAACATTACTCTAGGAAAAATAATAGTATAAATTTGCAAAACCACCAACAAATATAAACAGATACCTCAATATCAAATTTCGGGATTCCAAATTTGTACCAAATTTAGTACGAACTTTCAAATCCTACACTCCGAATTTCCAAACCTTCCTCCATACCTCAACCAATCGCATAGAAATTTTATCTCCAATTCTCTTATTAGCAATGCTCATGATACCAGCTCTATTGATTCAGTGAAATCCAATTTGCACCAAACATAGTACCATTTAGTACACTTAGTTACACAATTTCATACAGTTCAAAAGAAATCTTATTTTCAAATTTCCGGATTCCAACTCTGAATTGTACTAAATTTAGTACCATAAGTACGAATTTCCAAAACTACCAACATACCTCAGTCCTACAGTGCTATAGTAATCTTATTTCCATTTTCCAGGATTCCAACTCTTTTGGTTCCCCCAAAAGTTAAGTTCTGGTACAACTTACTACCATTTAGTACATATAAGTACGAATTTTCACAATTACCTACATTCCTCAGTCCCAGAATGCAAATGTAATCTTATTTCTTAATTTCACAATTCCAGCTCAATCGGTTCACCCAAAACAAATTGTACCAAATTCAGTACTTTTCGAAAATTTCGAAAACTCCCTCCATATCCCAATCCTACATTTCAAATTTCAGGATTCCAGTTCCATCCTTCAAATTAAAATTGTACTATATTTAGTTACGTTTAGTACTTTTCGCATACTTACAGTGCGAATTTTCAAAGACCCTTTGGTACATCTATCTCCACACACCCCATCAGTGACCCTCATTCCAAATTTAAGATCTCTAGTTGTACTGCTTCCTCAATGCAAGAGGTATCATATTTGGTAACTTTTCATACTTTTCGCACCGTTCTAGTACGAATTTCCAAAGCCCAACCTTATCTGACCCCCATCGGACCAAGAGTTAGCTTCACCCAAAAATTCAAGATTCTAGTTTCGACTGGACGTTGATGAATCGTTAAGTCAGTCAATTATTTACGGTACAAAATTTATACTTGCTCCCCCTACGCTCCGTTGTTCTTTTACGAAGAAGTCAGCCGATGACTTAAACCAGCCAAAAACACCTTTTATGTAATCTCACCTTAACTGCTTTTTTTTCAAAAACTCTACAACGATTTATTTTGCAGGGACGTACCGTAGTCGTTTCGCAAGAAGGACCCACAGAGCATACCTATCAATTGGACGAAGGTTTGGTGGAGTTTGGCACTGCTGTGAATGACAGCGATTTCGGACGCGCCGTTCATTTCCTTGAAACGTTGGGCGACAAACCGGCCGCAAAAGCAATGTGGCACAACTTGGCCATCATCTCGATGGAAGATGGTAATCTGCGTGTGGCACAACGTTGTTATGCTGCTCTTGGAAATGTATCCAAGGCTTACTATTTAAATGAAATGATTGAAGAAGCCGATAAATTCGAAGAATCAACCGGATCACCGGGTATACAATGTCTAGAAGTGAGGGCTAAATTGGCATTACTTTCATCAGATCTTAGAACTGCAGAGCGAATTTACTTGGAACAGGGTGATATGGAAGCCGCATTGGAAATGTACAAGAAATTGAGAATGTGGGATGAGGCAGTAAATTTAGCCGAAAAGAGGGGTTATTTAGGTCTGACACAACTCAAGGAGGATCAAATGTCATTCCTTTTGTCAACGGGCCAAGAAGAAAAGGCCGGTCAGGTTTTGGAGGAGCAGGGTGAAGTTGAAAAGGCCATGACATTGTTTTTAAAGGCCAACAAACCTGCCAGAGCTGCAAGGTTGGCTTTAAAGACACCGCATCTAATGGATGATCATCCCCTAATGATGAAAGTGACAGAGGGTTTGGTGAATTCAGGTAGGTTTTTGAAATTTCCTTCAAACAAGCTTCTTCTCCACAATAACAAAAAAAACTATTTTTGTAGAACTCTTTGAAATGGCTGGAGACATTGCGTATCGCTTGTCACGACCAGAGGCGGCTCTAACATTGTACCGCAAAGGTGGTGCCTTTGCCCGTGCTTTAGACTTGGCACGTCAGCTGGCCCCCGATGAAGTTACAGCTTTGGAAGAAGAATGGGGTGACTGGTTGGTGTCCCGCAAACAACTTGATGCCTCTATAAACCATTACATTGAAGCTGGAGCAACCCAAAAAGCTTTGGAAGCTGCAGTGGGGGCCAAACAGTGGCGCAAAGCTGTACAAATAGCCAAAGTTTTGGATGAACCGGAAGAAATTCAACGCTACGCTTTGGATTTGTCAAAACATTTAGCCTTCGCCGGCGACATTGATGGAGCAGAAGATCTTTTGGTTCGTGCCAATTTGTTCAAAGAAGCCATTGAGTTATTGAACCGTCACGGCAAATGGGAAAGGGCCTATGCAATTGGTGAAAAATACCTCAAAGCCGAGGAAATGCGTGATCTGTTTGTAAACCTTGCCGGCGGTTTGGAGGAGCAGGGTAAATATCGTGATGCTGAAAAGGTGTTATTGGCAGTCAACGAGCCGGACCTTGCCATTGCCATGTATAAACGTCGTGAACTTTATGATTCCATGATACGTTTGGTAGAACGTTACCATAAGGATCTACTTGAAAGTACCCATCAGCATTTAGGACGCACTTTGGAATCGAAGGGGAAATTCAAGAATGCTGAAGTCCATTATCTCGCAGCTGGGGATTGGAAATCTGTGGTGCATATGTATTGTACAGCTGGTCGCTGGGAAGATGGCTATCGGGTTGCAAAGCAAAAGGGAACCGATGGTGCCAGCAATCAAGTGGCCTATATGTGGGCCAAATCAATGCCCGTGGAGAGTGCTGTGCGTCTGCTAAACAAATTGGCTTTACTTGACACGGCTGTGGGCTTTGCTTGCGATTCAGGTCAATTTGATTTTGCCATGGATCTTTGTCGTTTTGCTGGCAAATCCACCGATGAAGTCCATCTCAAAATAGCCATGTCTCTGGAAGATGAGGGCAAATTTGAATTAGCCGAAGCTGAGTTTATTAAAGCCAATAAGCCCAAGGAGGCAATACTTATGTACACTCATGCCGGTGATTGGTCGGCAGCCTTAAATGTGGCCGAGAACCATTTGCCTGAGGCGGTGACGGATATTCTTATCAGTCAAGCCAATGCTGCTATGGAAACCAGGAATTTCTCAGACTATGAAGATCTTATGCTCAGGGCTCATCGTCCAGACCTGATAATAGAGGCTTATAAAAACGAAGGAATGTTTGATGAAGCCATACGCATAGCCGAGGATCATTTGCCGGGGGCTTTGAATGATTTGAGACGTTTACAAGCCCAAGAATTGCGTCGCAATGGCGGTAGTGCAGGTGGCGCCCAATCAAATGATTCACGAACCTATCTGCAAAGAGCTGCTGAGTTTGCCAAAAAGGAAGATTTTCGCAAAGCTGCAGAATGTCTAATGCAAATTGATATTACAAATGCCGAGGACGCCACAACCGTGGAAAGAGCCTTGCTAAGGGCGGCTGAGATATGCAATCAGTTCCTCGAGGGAAAAGATGCCACCGACATAGCCAATCAATTGGGTCCACGTTTATTGCAAATAAAACAAATTGGTCCAGCTGCGCAGTTATATTTGGCTGCCGAAATGCCCAAAGAGGCTGTGGATGTTTTCATCAAAGCTGAACAATGGTCCAAAGCTAGGCGTTTGGCCAAAGAACTAGATCCAGAACTTATGGCCTATGTGGAACACCAGCAGAAAACTCGTCTCAAAAGTGAGGGCAATGTGGAACAACTGGCAGACATTGGTAAGTATGACACACAAGGCATAACTAATGCGTGAGTGTAAATGGTAATGGCTTCCATTTTTACTTAGATATAATTAGCGCCCTAGACATGTTGGCCGAACAAGGACAATGGCAACGTTGCCTGGACAAAGCAAAACAAATCAGTTCACCGGTCCTGCATAAATATGTAGCTCTCTATGCTGCCCAGCTCATAAGGGAGGGAGACAGTGTTTCCGCTCTTGGCCTGTACATGAACTATGGAGCTCCACCATTGGAGGCAAACTTTAATATTTACACCAGAATAGCAATGGATTGTTTTGCATTGCGCGAAGAGTCATGCTCCGATGGCCTATGGAAACAATTGAGAGATTTTCTTTATCGATTACTGCAGGTAAATATAGTGGGAAGGTGAAAGTGATGTATCTTGAAAAGTTAATCGCTACTTACTTGGAATGGCCACAAAATGATTTGTTTCTTGGATTTTCCAAGCAACTTAATGCCTCCGATTGTAAAATTCAGTATTCCTTGGTCGATATATCGCGAAAAATTATTAGTGAGCTAGGACGGTTGAATGAGATCAAACAGGAGATGAACTTAGACCTGGGCCCTATTCTTGTTTTATAAAAATGTGAAATCTATATACTTTTATCGAAAATATATTTCATTTCGTATCGAACAAGAACCCAGCCCTTGATCTAGCTGTCAAAAATAGAAGTTTTAGGTTGAATTAGTTCGGTTTTGGTTCTTGGCTCCTTTGTTAATTTCCGAAAAAGCCAGCCGATGAATTAAGCCAGCCAAATGAGCGATTTATGTATTCCCACAACAGGCTCTATTATTGTTAAACTTTTCAAAAAACCATAAAGTGGTTGAGGCCATTATATGGGGGACATTCCAAACCGGGAACCTCTATAGGCAATTTTATACTTCAAGGATTGTCATCTACCAATTCTTCTTAGATACCAAATTTGAAACAATTTCGTGGGTAAATGTGACTAGGATTATTTAAATACCGAATATCGCTGGGTATCGTTATAAGTGCGCTACAGGAAAACGTAGACCTAAATGTTCAATGTTCTGCCACCGGAGCTAGAACCCATTACGAACTATAAATACAAATTTTTAGACAAATCCGTGGAAAAATGTGGCAAAAATCATCAAAATACGGAATATCGACAGATACCGTTATATGACGGCTGTATCAAAACGTGGACCAATATATCTCATTTTCAATATCAACCATCCTAGACACAATACAAAGTGTTCTGCAAAATTTTGAAGCTCTATGTGAAATAATGTGGGCTGTATCGTGATTTAAAGGTTTATTTCCCTACAAAAACTGTAGATTTTGTCGATGCATACGTTGCAATAAGCATTTTGAAAACACCCGAATTTGAATATTTTCTGAACAAGTTTTTACTATTGAAAAGAATACACACACATAAACAAATAAAGTTTACATACTAAGCGAAGAAAATAATAAAACAAGTAAGCAAAGGCTACAGTCGAGCGGGGCCGACAGTTGAATACCCTACAACACTATAATAAACCATACAGTTTATATAGGCGAAATACTCGACAGAATTCCACAAGATATTGTGACAAATAATAAAAGAAAACCATCAGGTTTCGTTCTCTAATTTTCGAATAATAGCAACTTAAACTAATTTGCTCATTTCCAATTTATTGGTAGATGTTGCACGTAAATGGTCTTCCTAGATCTGGAACCAATATTTCCCAAAGACCTATAACCTCTCAGAAGTGGCAAAAGATTATCATTTATTATTGGTTTTTGGCTGAAACGCATCTATATGAGATACAGACATTTGACTATATTCTTCAACGAAATCAGCGTTAACGAAATAGTCGGAAGTGCGTCTTTCCTGTATTTGTGAATTCTCCAAAAAGTCACCGGAATGGACATTTTATGTATTTTGTCTACAAAAGTTGGCAAACTATTTCACACATTAAATATTTTTGGATGGCCATCCGAAACTGCTGGCTTTTGCAATGTCCGGTAACCCCCATTCAAATGTGCGTGAGGATCGAGCGTTAATTACGACCTGCCGACAATTTTGCAGTTTTTTGGTCCATTTCAACCCCTAAATATATGGCGATCATCTCCAAAAAGAGTAGGCTTCTATTCTGACCCTCATCTTATCCCCATGCAAAATTTCGTAAGGATCGGTCCATAAATGCGATCTGTATATGATATCCTGATATCTCAACTACTTAGTTTTGTTAGCTGTAGAAATATTACCAAATGTTTAATTCAAAATGAAAATATGCCAAAAATATGACAAAATTGAAAAAATATGAGAAAATTTTACAAAATCAATATTTTCATCTTTAGAGAGATATTTTTATGCGATTTTTTTAACGTTTTTTCTTTCCTGCCAAGAGGCCATTCTGAATTAATGGGAACTGTCGAAATCAGTTCAGCCGTTCTCGACATATAAGAGATTTTTCAAGCATATCTTCTTTGATAAACATATTTATCGCACATATTTTGCTATATATCCGATTTGATGGATGTTAACATCAATGTAAAGATCAGAAGTAACCTTGTCATGGCTTTGTGATTTCTCCGGGATTTAAAATATTCACGGTTTAATGAAAAATTTTGATTTTTTCAACACAAAAGATATGGTCTATTTTACCCGCTAAATATTATCCGATGACCACTCAAATTAGTAGGCTTCTTCCCCGCCCTAAACTCTATCTACATGCGAAATTTCGCGTCGATTGGTCTATAATTGCGACCTGTATTGCTTCTGCAAAATCCGACATTTTTTCAGTATTTGGTCCATTCCTACCCCTAAACACTTGGCGATCATCTCCAAAAGCAATAGGGTTCTATTCTGGTCCAAGCCCCACCTACATTCTAAATTTCGTGAAGATCGGGCCATAATTGCGACCTGTAGAGTGATTACAAATTAACATGGACAGACGGACAGACGGACGGACGGACATACATAGCTAGATCGACTCAGCTCGGCGAGCTAGGAAGATCCATATATACTTTCCTATGTGGGAAACCATTATTTCGAGGTGTTACATAATTTTTGGCCCAATCAAACTTATAATACCCCCAACACATAGTGTTGTAGGGTATAATTAAAATCATATGGTATCATAGCCCTACCTTGATTTTTTTTGTACCATGGGAGGAGGTTAGTTCATGCCCCGCTCCATTTAGGTTTTTTTGCTATGTAAACTGACAATGTTCAATGACTACAAGGAATGTTATCTAAGTCTAAGATACAAAATTTGACACAATTCAGTGCAAAAATGTTCCCAGAGTTATAAAAACCCCGAATATTGAACGGCACCGTTAAACGGAAACCATGGTCCAATATGGACAACTGGTGATAGAACCCATTAAGAACTACAAATACCGAATTCTATACCAATCCGATCGAAAATGTTGGAAAATAGTAAAGATACCGAAAAATAAGATACCGGTACACCTACCCTTATATAGGGAGATGTTTAAAAAATGTTCTGTCACCAGTAATGGAACCGTTTACAAACTCCTAATACCGAATATGAAACAATTCCGTTGAAAAATGTAGTTAGAATATCAAAATACGAAAACTTAAACCGATATACAAACCATGCTAGACACAATACAAACTACTGTGCCCTATTTCAAAGGTCTACGTCAAATAAGGTAAAATGTATCGTGATATCCTTAATGATATCCCTTTCCATTACAGGCACTTAAATCATCCGATTTCTCACAGGCCCCGATATGTGGAAATATAGAACAATATCTTATAATTGCCCATTACTATTGTGCTCGTAGTGCATGCCGACATGTTCAGGCCCTACAGCCCATAGCACTGCGTATTTCCATAGCTCTTTTGCGTTATACAGATATTATTCCTGTCGATAAGGCATTCTTTGAAGCTGGAATGGATTTACGAAACGCTGGCCGTGAAGCTGAGGCTTTTGTAATTCTTAACCACTATTTGGATGTTTGTGAGGCCATTGAAGATGGTACAGGGAATTTAGTGGATCATAGTGATTTGGCTGCTACTGATTTTCCCAGTTCGGTGCCCATACCCGAAGAAATACATTTGAAAAACGATCCTGGCCTGCACGAAGAAGTTCGAGAATGGGTGCTGGCCGTAAGTATGGACCAACAAGTGGATCAGGTAAAAAAATTAAAATTAAGACAGGATTCATAATGTGTGTGATTAAAATGTGTTAACAGGTATTGCCCATCGATGATCGAGGTTTATATGAGTCCAGTTTGGGTGCCAATGATGTGCCATGCATTCTTAGCGGCTATCCAGTTAGAGGACGCCAACCTGTTACTTTTCAATCATCAACACGTCAGGCGAATCGGGATGTGTGGAGTAAATTTGCCGTAGCCATTAAATTATCAGCCACAAGTGAAGTGAGTGATGTCATTGCATTTACCGAGAAATGGAATGGCTTGGCCAATTTTGTAATGCACTAGAGACTAGAGCTTTTGGTTTCATGTAACAATTTTTAATAAATAGCACATTGAAAAATTGCAAAGTTTTATTGGAAAAATGAAATTTGGTAATACACAGTAAGTATATGAGGGCGGTGGTCTTAGGATATCATAGAAGGTTTCATGTAACAATTTTTAATAAATAGCACATTGAAAAATTGCAAAGTTTTATTGAAAAAATGAAATTTGGTAATACACAGTAAGTATATGAGGGCGGTGGTCTTAGGATATCATAGAAGACATCATAGAGGCACAAAAAGTGCAGAGGATAGTCAGAATAAAAATAGTGTATGGACAGCATGTCTTAACCAGTGTAAACAAATTTTTAATAAAATAAAATGAATTGTAAAAAAATATATAGATTAGAATAATAACCACCAGAATTCGTTAGAGAGGCGAGAAACTAGACTAATGTCCTAAACTCTTTTCTATACTTGATTTATTTCTGCTTTCCTACTATCTATCAATTTTTACTAATAAGGAAACAAGCTAGGTCAAACATACACCAAGTTAACATATAATTGACAATTGTCAATATATATATATATATATATATATATATATATATATATATATATATATATATATATATATATATATATATATATATATATATATATATATATATATATAAGTTAACACCAGACATATTCAAATTCAACATTAGCAACCCAAAGAATTCATCAACCAAAGTATAAGCGTGTCATTTTGCTGACACTGCAGTTCCCACCGAAACACTGACAACAACATCCAACAGGCAGACAGCAACATTCCATCGCCAACACGAGCAGGTGTCCAGTATCATCTGGGTGCATGAATCCAAAGTATAAGTTAGGGTAGTTTTATTTCATTATTTACTTTGTAGTCCGGAACCTTAACCAATAAAGACGTGATTGCTTGCAATAAGCAGCAATCACAAATTTTTAAAAAAATAAATAAATTAACATTGAATTAATTGGCGCCCGAGAGCAGGGACCTGTTTTTAAACAGGTACTCGAAACCCGAAGAAAGGATTTCCGACAAAAGTCAAGCCTTCAGGTGGCGCCCCAGTACCTTAATTGTGAAAAGGACGTAACGTTATGTTACAGCCCCTAAAGCCCGCGACGCGGATCACTAGATTACGGTAGTTTACAAATAAAAATTTTAAAAAAGTGAAAGAAAAATGAAAAACTATTAAAGAAAATAAAAAAAACTCCTGAAAAATTAAAAAACAAAGTAAATTAAATTAAATAAAAAGTGAGAATTTTTAAAAAAAAAGTATCAAAATAAAGGAAATTTTAAAAAAGTGAAAGTAAAATAAAAACATTGATACAAGAATTGTGAAAAATGAAAAACTATTAAAGAAAATAAAAAAAACTCCTGAAAAATTAAAAAACAAAGTAAATTAAATTAAATAAAAAGTGAGAATTTAAAAAAAAAATAAAAAAAAAGTATCAAAATAAAGGAAATTAAAATGATAATTACAAAATGAAAACTTAAAAAAAAAAAAAAAAAAAAAAAAAAAAACTTGTGAAAACTTAAATGCAAAGTAAATTAAATGAAGTGAGAAATAAAAGAGAAACAATTGTGAGAAATTATAAAAAAAAGAGATAAAAAATAAAGCAATTTAAATAAGTTTGAATGAATATAAATAAAAATAAAGTTAAGACAGAAATAAAAATTAAAATAAAAAAAAATTGTTTGAACAATATTAAATATTTTAACAATTTATAAATAAAAGTGAAAAAAAATCGGACACAACAAAACTTTGAAAACTTTGAAAGGACTAAGAAAAACGATCATCTCATCTGAGGATGCTACTCCAGACTCTAATGATGCTGCTATTGTAAGAATAACTTTAAGAATTCAAATTAAGAACAAATTTAGTTCCTAACATTTTATAGTTATAGTTATTTGTTACCTATGAAATTTTTTTTTGTTCCCAATACTGATAAATAACGTAACTTTGATAGCTCCACCTTTCCTTTTGATAAAGAGAAAAAATGTTAGAATCACTGGATGATATTGCCGCAAAATTAAATAGAATTACGATAAATCCATCTTCAAATAACATGGAGACTCAAACAAGGGCAAACACCCTTACATCAGGTAGTTCAGCACTCACGGACAGACAAAGAAATGAAATCACACGAATGATTACAAACCTTTTGGCCGGACGAGACGAAACGTTTGACGATGGTAGTGACATACCGGTAGGAACAGTCTCCTCGAGACTGGAGGAACTGGACAAAGTTCCAGATATAGTGAAATCCTTGAGGGAATTTTCGGGAAAACCCGGAGAATTCAGCTCTTGGAGGAAATCAGTCGAAAGGGTGATTGATTTATACTCATCACTTCGTGGTACCGGGAAATACTACGCAATTTTGCATACAATTCGTACGAAAATTATAGGTGAGGCCGATACTGCTTTAGAATCCTATAGGACTCCATTGGATTGGGCCAAAATACGCAAATGTCTGATGGTGCACTACGCGGATAAACGAGATATAGGTACACTAGAGTACCAAATGAATGTTTTGTGTCAGGGGCACAGAGGTGTCACAGAGTTCTATCAGGACGTCTATCAAACACTATCTCTAATTTTGGATAAGGTTTCCTGCCTGGAATTGGACGACGGTAGTCTCAGAGCCATGACGAATACATATCGAGAGAAGGCACTTGATACCTTCATAAGAGGCCTGAACGGCGACCTTCCTAGGCTGCTCAGTGTCAAGGGTCCTACATCTCTACCAGAGGCTCTACATCTTTGTTTGAAGCTAGACAATATGGCATTTCGGAGAGATTATGCCCAGAAGGGAGGCCATAGACAGGAACCATTGAGGATGTCAACTGGTTCGAAATTTTACCCAGAATTGGCAAATATTCCGACTCATAGGCCTAGAGTATCCCCAGCTTTTCCATTTCCGAACAATTTGAATATGCAGAATCAGCGTCCTCAGTTTGGGGGACAACCATTTGCTCATCGTCCTCAGCAATTCTTTCAACGAAATCAGATGGGAGGACACCAAATCACTCGTCCTTATACGGGAACCCAGAATTTTCCTCAGAACCAATTTAGGCAATTTCCCTCACAATTTTACAATAACCAGAGTAAGCCAGAACCCATGGATATTGACAGGTCAATACAAGTAAGACCCCAACAGAACCAGAATTTTAAAAGACCTGCCCAGTTTTCGGTACAGACTCCTATGAATAAGATTCAGCGTAATTTTCATGTAAACGTGGATAATCAATACCCAGATATTGAGAACCAATCCCCAAATATCGACGATTACCGAGACAACAGTGACTATCAGCCAGTAGACGAAAATGACACAGGGAATTACGGACAACAGGATATAATACCGGACGATTACCAGGAACGTAACCCCGATGACATTCCAGCCAACTTCATAGATATGAATTTTTTAGATTAAACTGTTCCTCGTTGCCATACTTTCAAGTCAAAACGAGGGACGGGAAGACATTAGACTTTTTATTGGATACAGGAAGCAGTAAAAATTATATAAGACCAACTTTGGTCCTGAGACCCAAGTTGAATGACAATAGGTTTAGCGTAAAATCTGTAGGCGGCGATGTGGAAGTTTCACACCACACTCTTCTTAACATGTTCGGCGTCAATGACGTCCCACTAAAATTCTTCCTTCTACCTGGTTTGGTATCTTTCGACGGGATTTTGGGGAATGACAGCTTGAAGGAATTATCGGCAGTAATTCATACTTCCGAAGATTATTTCCAAGTAAGAGGTGGCAAGAAAATTGCCATTAGACAGAGAATATCCCAGAATGTTAATAGTCTGGAGCTGGAGGCTGATCATCTATCATTAAGTCAGAGGAGTTCTCTCAATAATATTGCAAGGCAGCACCGGAACCTGTTCTCAGATCCGGATGAGAGATTAACATACACCTCTGTTGTGGTTGGAGAAATCCGAACTGAAAACGAATCTCCAATCTATACGCGAAGTTATCCTTACCCAATGGCATTAAAAGATGTCGTGGAGGAAGAGATTCGTCGTCTCCTTCGGGATGGCATCATAAGACCATCCAGATCCCCGTACAACTCCCCTATTTGGGTAGTGCCCAAAAAGGAGGACAGTTCTGGTCGAAAAAAATATCGTTTGGTCGTTGACTTTAGAAAGCTCAACGCCGTCACCATACCGGATAAATATCCGATTCCCGAGGTGACGGAAGTCCTATCTAACCTAGGGGGGAATCAATATTTTACGGTCATTGATCTTAAAAGCGGTTTCCATCAAATACCCCTACGGGAGGAGGATAGACAGAAAATCGCATTCTCAATCAACAATGGCAAGTACGAGTTCACGAGACTGCCATTTGGCCTGAGGAACGCGCCAGCAATATTTCAGCGAACGCTGGACGATATACTCAGAGAATTGATTGGAAAAATCTGTTTTGTTTACATCGATGATATTATCATCTTTGGCAAGGACGAGAAGTCACACGCCGAGAACATAAAGAAAGTTTTCCAAACACTAGAGTCCGCTAATATGAAGATCCAGTTGGACAAGTGTTCATTCTTTAAACAAGAAGTGGAATTTTTGGGATTTATTGTGTCGAGGGATGGTATAAAAACCAACCCAAAGAAAGTGGAAGCCATTCTTAATTTCCCGATTCCTAAGACACTTAAGGAACTTCGTTCTTTCCTTGGCCTCTCGGGCTACTATCGAAGGTTCGTAAGGGGATATGCCGATGTAGCAAAGCCGCTGACATCGCTCCTCAGAGGGGAGGAAGGCAGAATTCCAAAGACAGCTTCCAGTCAAATTCCGGTGACATTAGATGTTTCCGCCGTAGAAGCTTTCAACGAGCTAAGAAATGCATTGGTTTCAAACGATGTGATACTTGCGTATCCAGATTTCAGAGAAGATTTTGACCTAACGACGGATGCCTCCAGTGTCGCTCTTGGAGCAGTGTTGAGTCAAAAGGGAAGACCAATTGCATTCATTTCAAGAACTCTGGATGAAACAGAGGAGCATTACGCCACAAATGAGAGGGAAATGTTGGCCATCATATGGGCCCTCACT